CTACTGCTGCAACAGGAGTCTCTTAACAGTACAGCATGTTATTCTTTCTTGCAGAAAAGAGAGACTACTTTGTAGCAATAATCCTCCAAGATGGAACACTCAGAATCTTTCCACATTAAGAGTCTCTGAGTAAGACATATTATTTTTTACTCTAGCAAAAAAAGCAAAACTGATGCTGTTTGGTTTTTTTTTAAAACAGTAAATTTATTAGTCCTGGCAAGTACTGCAATTCTCCCCATCTGCTATGTACTCAGATACTTACTCCTAGAATCTGCAGCCCATAACTGAAGTGTGATATCCTCATCCCCAAACCCAAAGACAATGTATGCATGCTTTTTCTTCTTTAGCTACTCATTATGAACTGAATATTTTTTTAAATGAGATCACTTTATGTCTACCACGAAAGTCAGTATAAAGTTTATTATCAGTGATTGCTGAACTACTTCAGTCAATCTGAAGGAAGGAGTTTTCTACATGACATACCAGTGCCTGAGCATTCTTCTCACATAAACTGGCACTTCAATGTGTATCCAAGATAAATATGCATCAAAACCTAGGCAAAGTTTTGAAGAAAGTACATGGCTTGCAAGGGATGCAGTGCTGTCTGTAGTATATACAGCACTAATTATTCTGGGGATTTATCACTAATATTTTCTCGGTACACCAGCACTTCCTTCCTCTCATCCAGAAGGCCTGGACAGAACTGTTAATGTTAGGATGTAGAACTTTTAATGGTTTCCTGGTGAAGAAGAATTTGTAACATTTTAGTCCTCTATGTATTTTAGAGGACCAAGACTAATTCCTGTACAGCTTGCTCTTTTTTCAGCATTAATGGCAAGCACACGTGTGAAGGGCAACCCAAGTGCTTCTCTGCTGCAGAACGTACTGCCGTGTGTGCGCTGCCCAAGCCGGGGGCTCCCTCTGCCCTCTGGGTGATGTCAGCCACAGCACACAGCACTTGGCTTCCACCAGAATGTTTCTGTATATCCAAGAGATTAGTAGTGCTACTTTCAAAGCCAACTCCTGAATGCTAACACAACCCTCAACACCACAATCCAAAGTCAGGCTGTAGCAGTTGGTGTTTTGTTATCCTTCCGTTTTCCAATGCATATCCACTGCTGCACTGCCACCTTCTAGTCACTGTAACTGGAAAAAGGAAACACAAGTTATTCTCCTCTTGGGAGGCCAGGAGACAAAAAAACTAAATCAATTTTCAAGTATTTTTATATACACAATGAATACATTTGGATTGTATTCCATCTGTCCCAAGAATGTGAAAGTACATTAACAGCCAACTACAATAACCAAAGTGCCCTGAGGAATATTTGTACTAATGCACCCTTCTTATAGAACACTGTCTCCAGGGGAAGTACTAAGTTAAGCCTCTGCAACTCCTGTATGTATTCCCCCTTCAAACTCTGCCCACCACAAAATCCCACCAGCTCTTGATAATCTCAGCATGATACTCAGGAGTCCTGTAATACCTTGGTACTAATCTGTAAGTAATAATGTGCTACAAATTAACAAGGTAAGGTAAACAGCTGGTTGAACTAGTACAATTACATCCTAATTTTTCACAAAGTTATTATTACCTTTCTTGTCATAAGTTATTTACTGCTCCATAAACATGGGGAGCATGCTTGTTAAGAATTTGGAAATAAGCTGCAGGAAAGGCTGATAAGAGTGTGCTTTTGTCTTTGATACCTTTATCAACTACAACATGGCCAAAAGAGATTTACTAAATTGAGCAAGAGCACTTAATTTTTCCAAGAGAAGCCTTTTCACTTGTCAAGAGTAATTAAGCTTCACTCTCCCAGTTAAGAGAATGGAGGCACATACACATATAATAGAAGTTGAAAACATTGTGACACAACCTTACGCAATGATTTGGCAACATCTTTTAGAGTCTCCTAGGATGCTGTGTATTAAAGACAGTATCCCATCTCTTTATTAGAGAACTCATGACCCAGATCTGCCTTTAAACTACAAATGTAAGAACTGACTCCTGCTAGTTTTTTGCATGTTGGTGAAGGAGCTAAGGAGAAATGCTACTTTTAGACAGATTTCCTTAATCCACTTTAGTGCCACCCTAGTGACATCAGTTATTTTGGAGTGAAAAACCTTTGGTTTTTTCATCTTTAAAGAAACACTTATAGTTCAAATGGGTGTCCTTTCAGTAGGATTTACAACTTAAGTATTTCAATAATCACATTTAAGACAAACACAAAAACAAGGACAGCAGTTGTTTGTTGAAATTTTATCAAGTAACAGAAATATAAAAAGCTGGTTGGGCAGTAGCTTTTGTTTTGGTCAACTCTATCCTTCAACTCAATACAGAAAATACTTGTGATGATTCTGAATTTAATCTGAAATACTCTGAAACAAAGCATATTTTTCCTTCATTATCAAGGTAACAACAGCAATTTATCAAGAGTATTTATAAACATAACTTGCATATTCTGACAAAGACACTATGTATTTATTTAGTTGCTGTTGCTGAGACTCTTATAAAGAATAAATTGTAAGCCAACTGAGGCTACAGAAGTCACACAACATACAACAGAACCTGTCCTTCCCACAAGATGGGAATTCCCTGAAATCAGGTTCTTAGAAGTAGAATTTGAAACTAACAGCAAAATAGGTTCTAATATTAAGATTCATTAAAAACTGACATTAAAGAGTAAACATCTGTACTACATTTTATAAGATTTTGCACCCATTAGAAGTTATTTTTTTACTAACAATTGTTTAGTAGAAAAGCTGTATTTTCTGAAAAGCTGCATTAGAATGACAGTCACTACTTTCTTTCCCCTTACGAGTTTTCAGAGAAACAGAAGTGTATCAACTCTTCCACATAAAAATCTTAAGACACTTGCTTATGTATCTACTTAAAATATAACTTTAATAGGGTAGGTTTTAGAGCCATGAAACACAGCTGATCTACAGTTTTAAACCATTCCAGAGATGCCTGAAGTCTAATACAATCCAAGGACCTCTGCAGAGATCAGTTCCTCATCCAAAATTATACTCAGTGTAACTGCTCACCCTGCACATTTAACAAGACTGATTTAATGTCTATACTAACATGTCCTATTAAAAATTCATACTTTTATGGTCTGCTCTTGCAAAAATTCATAAACTGAGTACTCTCTGCTATATGGCTTTTAAATTTGTAAACGTTTGTGCTCAGTTGTACCCAAATGGGACCCATTTTTGCAGATGAGTAGTTTCTCACTGCCATTCCTGACTGGTCTGTTTATAAAGCCTAATTAAACCTCCCCCTGCAAACTTCAAACAGAAGTCAAAAATACTGCTTAAACATGAGGAAGGTCCATTCAAACCTACAAACACAATCTTTCTTCCACCTACTACACTGCTGTAACATTTACCTTATGCACTGGCACAGGCACCACTCATCTCTGCCATCATCGCAGATGAACCAGCGTTACTCCTGTGGTGTCTTCTCGAAGCTATCACCCTGCAACTAAAAGATACAATAAACTGAGAAAAATACATTTTACAGCACATGTCAACATGTAATGCTTCCCCCCATCTCATAAAGATGACATGAGCTTGGGTTTGCAGATTAGTCTGTTGCAAGTTTTACTACTTCTTTAAGTGGTGGAAGATTCACTGGCTTGGAATGGACTGGGATGGCTTAGAGATAAGTTGCATGGCTTATGGATTCTCACTCCTTTTCAATGGTGCACTGCCACGTTAAATCCATAAGTTGAATGACAAAATTTACTGAGGACCAAACAGTAGTGCAAAGGTTTTGGGTTTGTGGTTTGGTGTTTTGGTTTTTTTTTTTTTTTTTAGTTGGAGGTCTTCATGTTTACTATAGTCAAGAGCATCTTTTGAACTTCATGGCTTTACCAGAGTCATAACAACTTGCCACAGGTTCTGCCACATGTACTGGGTATCCCTGCAACGCGGTGTCAAACTAAACAGAGTCAGGCATCCAACTAAACGTCAAGTTTGCAATGGCTTCATTCAAACTCCCACTAGTCAAGCTGGTTGTCAATCTAAACCAATTTCTGATTTCATAAGTCTTTAATTTTGCTAGAATACTGTATATGCAGCCTCTTTAAGCATCTTCACTGATACATACTGGGCACAAAATACCCCCTCCCAACCCTACGTGGCAGTATTCTTTCTACAGTGAGCTGCATTACATCTTTAGTTTCAAAACTGGTGCCACAAATGCTTTTATCCAAGAAGAAATGTTGGAGAATTTCTAATGTATTGGAGCTTTTTTTTTTTTAATCTAGACAGCACTTCCATTGCCATGACATGCAGCTTGTCTTACTGTACTAGAGAAGGTAAATTCGTTTAATTTTGACTTAGACTGAAAAACTAGTTTGCTTTGCTTACCATCTTTGCTGTTTCACAGGCATTTGATGCTTTAAATCAGCTGTGGAATGCTGAAAGATTCACTTGTTTTTAGGAAGCCATAAGCCTTTGAGAAGTTGGAGAGAAAGACTTCTTTGCTTATCTTATTTTCTCCTTTGGAATCAAAGATGTTCCTTTAAAAGTGAAACACTACAGAGTTGCAAAAATTTGAAACAGTATGAGTAAGCAGCTTCTTTGATGGAATTGATCTATGTTTTGTGGGCTTTGTTTTTTTAAACAGTAGTCTGTAGCTGACTTACATGTACATGACTTATTTGGGAGATCTTTTTAAACGCCCCAGGAAACAGGAGGAAAGCAGAAATTAGTATTATCCACTTGTTTTTTCAGATTAAGTGAATGAAATCCTCATTTTTCTTTACACAAGGATCTGAAGGCATTTAGTACTGGGAACACTGTGACTTCAAATTCTAGGCACAACTGAGCTTTGTGTGGAATCATCCCCACCACCCTCCAAATCACAAGCACTACTTTCAGAATGAGATGCTGAACATGTAGAACAATCCATCTCCATGTTAGATGGTTGGATGTTGTGTGGAAGATCTTAAGAACTGCTTTTTCCATTCATGACGAAAATCAGATGGGAAGTGTGGCATTTCAGGGAAACTTTACTTTGAAAATTACAACACTAGTACACAGCTCAAGTTTATACATTTAACATCTGCTTTCTGAAAGAAATGTTAACAATTTTGAAATGAAATTAAACATTGTTTGAACTTTTCCTCACAAAAGCATAAAGTCATGGAGGGGAAAACTTAACAGGCAACAATAAAAAAAGGTTAAAAACAACTTTTCTTTTTAGTAGTCCTCTGGTAGTAAAGATAGAACAACTTCCACGTTTGAGAAGTAATCTGTCTTGGTCCAAAAGTTTAAGAGTGTTTTTAGTATCTGCTTCTGCCTCCACCTCTATCGGATCTGCTTCCACCACGGCCACCACCTCTGGGTGCTCCGCGGCTTGAACTACTGTAAGAATCCCGAGGAGGTGGGTAGCCCCTTTCCATGGATGGGGGAAGACCCCTGTCTTGTCTTCCGACACGATCACGGCCACTTGAGTAGACATCACTTCTGCTGCTTGAGTAACTTTCTCGGCTTCCATATCCATCTCGTGTGCTGCCGTAATCATCATACCGACTGCTTCCACCATATGATGGCGGGGGCCCTCGTGCAGGTGGAGCACTACGTGAGTTACCTGCAGGGTCAATGGTCAGGTAATACGGCAACACCATGAGTTATATAGAACAATTTCAATCTGAATTTACAGAATTGCTGTATTTAAATGTTTACTGCTACTCTTTTGTATGTATTGAGATGTTCTTAACAGAATCTGCCACATTAATGGTACTTAAAGTGGGGACTGCGTATCAGGCAGTGAGTGGATTTAAAGACTCTGAAGGAATGAAGACGGTGTTTGTTTATTCAGGCAGGCTCTTTACTGAGATTTCCAGAACAGCTTGTTATTTTAGAGAAGAAACTCAGCCATATTTTCCAGAGACAGCTGTAATTCTGAACTGTAGACTTTGCTTCTTTAGCTTATAGCTCATTTAACAAGATGATCAAATGATAACCAACAACTGTACTTTCACTGTAGGGGGGAAAAAAGTGTGCCACTTCCCCCTAAAGCAAGCAACCTAGTAAAAATCAGATTTTATGACACCTGTACAATTTACATGATCCTCAAAATGGATTCTTACCATAACTCTCATATGAATCTCTGTAGGAGCCTCCACTTGGATGATCCGAGTAGTCTCTGTCACGTCCACCACCGTATCCATCGCGATCGCTATAGGAGGAAAGACTACTAAGAGTTAGTACAAATCAGTAACGTAACAGCAAAAATGAAGTGACAGGGAGAAAAATCCAACAGTAGGTACCTATATCCCCTGGAGGGGTATTCGTCACGTGAACTGGAATGACCATAGTCACGATAGGCGTAGTCTCGTGGAGGTGGTGCGTAGTCCCGCGTGTCCCTGGAACTGGGGTAATCTCTGCTTGAATAACTACAAACAACAGAACTGACACATTAGCCACGTCCCACCGCAAAAGGCCAGGAATCAACATTCTTCTCGGAATAAAAGAAACCACCCCACCAAAAACAGTAAAAAAAGGTTTTACCCGTCTTTAGTGCTATAGCCATCATCTCTCGGAGACATGTAGACATCTCTCCGTGACGGCATTGGTTCCCTGCGTGGAGGACCACCGTAACCATCCCTTCCACGTGACACAGGAGCTGAAGAGAAGCAGTCCAGATCTTTAAACTTAATTAGCATTTAGTCGTAGAGGAGACCCGAGGCAAAGTATTAGTAGACTGTTTAGAGTAATTTAAAAGTATCTCTGTAGCCCAGATTACAGCACTTTACATTTCTGCTTGTACAGTTTAAAAGCAGCACTAAAAGGAGCATACTCAAATCACACCAAGCGGTTTCCAACAGCTACAAAATTATATTGGTGTGAAAAGAATTAAAAATTAGAAAAATATACCAATCTCACTGTAGGTTGAAATACAAATCAGTGATTTGAATCAGCTCCTGAAGGAAAACTGGTGCTACAGATGACCAAGCAACTAATTAAGTCAAAGTCCTTACCTCTTCCTCCCATGCTGCTGCTGCGCACTGGTCCCGAAGGTGCCGATCTTTTAGGTGGAGGGCCTCCGCTTCGTGGAGGTGGACCTCTCTTCATGGGAAGTGGCCCTCGGGAAGACCCTAGAGGAATAAGCCATGAACAAACTTATTATTTCTGTGATATTCACCTGCACGACCCTAAAGCCTGAACTACAGTAACCTAAGTGCCATTATTACCACTATGTGATCAACAGTAAACCGCTACAATTAGATCTCAAAGCCTTGTCTTCTAGCAGACTACTAAATGCTACTGGCAGAATTGAGAGCCAAACTTTCTGCAGCCTAAATTCCTGTCAAGAACTGTCTTTTAGAACTTATCCAAAAGTCACAGGGTGTGACAGAAAGGGAAAAAGACAGCTGATATCTGTAATCAGTCACAGCTTAAATGCTCAACAAGTTACTGTTCTCAGAAGACAAGAGCCACCTGGGAAGATGTACTAGGTAAGAGCCTACAGAGAAGGAACAGAGGCACTACCGAGTCTGTAGAACCTACTACACAGACTCTGCAAGAGAGAAGTTTCACTATTTCCAGGTTTTTTTTCTGCATTACAGCTTTTACTGTTATACCTCAGGTGCTACTTGCTTGTTCTTACAGAGTTTTGTTTTGATACTGAAAAGTCTGAATCAATAGCTATATCTTAAGGAATATCCAGTATCAAGTAATGTACTGTTCCACTTCAGAAAGCTTCAACTCAACACACTATTTGGTAACAACAAACAAGGCTTAGCTGCCCTAACTCCCAATATGATCTAGAATGATCAGTCCTAGAATTTTCTAAGTTCAGTCCTCTTGCTAGTAAGAATGAAAGGCAGTTCCCTTTCCCTGGTGGAAGAGAATCACTTTTTCAACTTGAATACCAGAAAGCTTCCTTTCTCACGTGCAAGGCAGGAGTTTTGTTTTTCTTTCATAGGCAAAAGTCAAGTGGAGTGTTAGTTGTAGAAAGGAATCTTCATATTTGAAAGCCTTTTCTTAAGGTGTACTTGCCTAATCAAAATTTTGACTAAACTGCCGAGATCGTATTTCATCGTTTTAATAAAGAACAAGGAGTGCACTATTTGGCTGTTTGATTTTTTTTTTTCCAGTAGGATTATTGCCATCTTCCAATGGGATTGTCTTGTATGTTGTCCAAGTATATAATGAGAGAGGTCAATACATACCCAAGTGACTCCCTCTTGAAGGTGGTCCTCTCGCGCCACTTCCGCCTCTTGCGCCTCTAAGGCCCCTGGGAGGACCTCTGCTTCGGGGAGGGGGAGGCGGCCCACGCCTACCACCACTCTCAAAGGATGGCTTGGTTGCTTGTTCCACTTTAATTGCTTTCCCATCTAATGACTAAAGAAGAAGCTGCTTTACTTACTGCTCAGTCACGTTTGTATTTCTTAAATCAAGCCCCTCTTGCTTCACTATTATAGGGCTTCCATTTTATAAGTTAGAGCAACTAGAACTGATTTCAGTCTTCAGTATTAGTACTCAGCAGCATGTTGGGCCTAATTTCAATTTCTACAGTACTTCATTCTTGTTGTATTGACGGAAAAAAATACAGAGCAGCATCAGAAAGGACTTTCAGTGAAAACACAAGTGTCCAATGATTACGGCAGCCCCACGTCATTTATTCTCTAAATGAAACACGATATATGATCTACAATTTACTTTCAATTGCCACGTACTTTTGTACCAAACTAGGACTGCATCAGTAGTTACAGGATTAAGCTGAAGGTAACTTAGCTTCAGTTGGGATTTCTGGCAATGGGGAGGCTGTTTAGTACATTTTCTTGATGTCCTGATAACACGGTGATCACTGACGCATTTAGAAGTAATTTCAGCATCTACACAGCAGACTGAGTATGACAATTCACCCCTTTTTTCTAGTGTTTCAAGTTGGGTTTTCAAACAAGGTGACTGTCACAATTTACTCTATTACTTGCTTTTCCACAGTGGAGGTGCTTTGTGGTTGGAGTATTTTTGTTTGTGGGTTGTTGTGTGGTTGGAGGGCTTTTTAGTAGGACAAAAATGGGAGCTTTTTCTAGAATATAGATCCGCAATAACAGGACCTCTGCAGCCTACCATTATTCCTCAAACATGAGCAGGTGGTAACACATATTGAGTAACTCAACCTAATTAATCAAATTTCTGTATAATCTTTCAGGCACCATGTTTGGCAATTATAGCAGAAGCAAGATCACAAGCTCTGCTGAAATTAGGTTACTGCACACCTATCCTGGCAAACATGGTTTATTTGCCCTTTTGAGCAGTTAAATAGTTAACTCTGCCTTAAAAACTAATTAATTATCAGGCAGGAAGTTTTGTTTATTGCAGTCCTTTGCTGCCATAAATGAACACAAACACTAATGCTAATAGTGTTTTACTGAAGTACAAAATCTTTTATTCTCCACTAAAATTTAGCCCTCTCTGAAACCATCCACTTTAGTAGCTTATGTATTTTGCCACCACATGTAGTCACAGCTACTGTTTGAAAAACCTGTGAATACATACACAGGTCCAACTTGATCCATTTGAGGGGAAAAAAAAGAATTAATACTAGAAAATTCATACTGGTCTTGTCCTTGACTTAATGAAAATATTTTACTGATGGAAGGTTCCTCAGAAAGTCTTTTGGCATGACAAACTGAAACATTCCAACAGCATTAGTACCTCTAATCCCTAGAACTCAGTTTGTTATCATATTGTTTTGCCATCATAATTCATACTGAGAGATGTCTCATCATTCATGATAAGACAGGAACAGTGGGCCTGGAGCCTTAAGCTTTGTCATCATGTCCACTGCTGCCCTCAATGTCATGGCATATTCTTGACAGCTTGTGCAAAGGCTAAAAAGCAAACACCATCCACTTCTGCTAGCATGGGTTCTGAAAACCTGCATGCTAGGTTCAAGGTACTTTTTTTTTTCTTTTTTTTTTATGTAGGAGGTACAGTTTTCCTTATTTCTCCTCCTATTTCCTTCTGCCTTGCACTTATGCATCTGACTTAGGCAAAAGATAGGTTTCTTTGCAGACTGCTTTACACAAGCAGTCTTTAAAAGGCATGCCTTAGGTCTAGAAAGACCTTTAATTAGGTCCAAGAATAGTTTTTTTGTTAACCAGAAGTTGTCAAAGTTTGTCCTATTTTAAAGCAAAGGGGACAATATTTTACAGGCTCTTAGCTCAAAGATGAAAGGTCTTATCTCAGAAAACAGATGAAACACACAGTCCATCTCAAAGTAACGGTTTTCAATGAGCTAAAGCAACAGCTGTCAACATGAACACTCATTAATTCCTGTTTATAACCTCAATTCAGAGTGTTACAGTAGCATTTTTAGTCTGATATGAGCACCAGAAAGTGAAGCCACCTTGGTGCTAAAACGCATAAAAAATAATTTAAGATACAAATCATTTAAGGACAATAATAGATTGGCAATCAAAGTCTCCTATACGTGGCATGAACAATCTGTACCTCTTTGTAAGGTGAGCCAGGGAACCTTAACCAAACACAATTAGAGAATTGTCCTGCAAACTGTTCCACATTCCAACAGAAATTATGAATGAAATTTGCAAAATTTTGGGAGTGGGGCAGAAATCAAAGTATTTCCAGTAATTTGCATGAAACTGGACCTAACACCATACAGGGCTTTCCTCTCCAACGGATCATTTCATTGTTGATGCTGCAGTGACTCCACCATTTCTGCATGCTCCTTGATGGCAGAGAGTGGGTTTCCTTTCACCACATATATTCAAGAACTGAAGATCATCTCTTATCAGGCCAAGCTTCTACATAGTACATCACTTCTTCTCCATAGGAAAAGGAAATTGTCCAATTAGAGGAAGACAACCTTCTGTAGTGCTGAGTACAGTTTACACTGTTTGGACTGCAGCATTTGCTTCCATCCTCTTAACACAGACCAGCTGGCTTGGCAGGTCTGCACTGCAATTAAATCTTTAGCTTGTCCTAGAGTTTTGCTCTAAGGTCATATCCTCTCTTTAGTTATCCATTTCATCCTAAGGATTTAAAATCAGAAGACTGTGAGGAACAGCCTACTGCATCCAATGATTTGGGAGTATCCAGCACACTTGTGTCCAGGTAAGCACATGCATTTTGTGACATCAGGATGCACATTTGACTGCCAAGAATTAAGCTTCTTCTTAAAAAAGGCAGATAATCAGCTGTGACAAAGTACTTGTAGATTTCTTCTGTGCTGCTCAGACATGCTAACACTGATCCAATTCTGTAGAACAAAGTAGCTGAAGTGAAAAATCTCCATCACACCTCCAAAATAATTCTGCTGATCTCTTTCTGCAGGACTGAAATGAATCCTCAACAAGCAAGCTTTGACTAGTCTATGCTTGTCCCAATTTAGAATGAAACACAATTAATCTCCTTCCTTCCCCCCACCCGGATTAGGTGCAAAATGCTGGATATACAATTTTCATGAACTTGCAAAGTAAAAAAAAAATCAAATGCCAATTCACTCCTGCAGAATCTATTGGAATCAGTCTCTTCTATTGGCTACAACTTTGAATTCCTTTGGGATGACAGACTGAGCATGCAGAACTCCTTCTGGCTGGACAGGTCATCTAATTCCTTACAGACTGCTTGAACTGCAGTCTGCACTGTGCTTCTGCTGCTGCTGCTGAAGTGCCCGAAATCCTCAAGACTGCTCCAATCCATCCTTTCCAAATGGAGAGAAAAACTTCACGTTGTGATGCATGGCAGTGATCTCTTCCCACAGCAGGCCTCAAACATCAGTCCTCCTCAAACCTTGAATGTAGAGTCTTTTCACACTACAAGCAGTACCTGTTGTCCAGAAAGCTTTCTGAAGATGGGTGTGAGAAACCACTTCATGAACATCTTTCATGTCCGAGGCCAAAGCAAGCTGCACCAATGGACATTCTAGGCCAAATGCCAACTGAGAATGTTTTTTTCCTACACTATTTGCTATTTGTAATTTCATGCAGATGAAGATACCTCTAGATTTACAGTGTTGAAAACAAAACCATGAGAAGGGTGATCCACAAGGCAGTCCTTTGTAGGATTTCTTGACAGTGATGCAGATGGTGCATTCCAGAACAAGCAGACATTACCTCAGCCACAAACATTGTCTCATTTAGCTACTTTGCTAAGCATAACTTTCCCGAATGTTTCCAACGTGACCAAACACATGGCCCAACGTTCAAGATGTAGAACAGTTGGTGATTATTTTCAAAGGGATTTTCATTTGCGAGCTGCACTCCACAAACACTTAGGATTAGTGACTCAATTCCTTTCAGTCTGACAATTACCTATTGGTGCTTGAAGTTACCTTATGTGAGGGTTCAGGGTAATGACTATTTCAGAGGAAATTAAGTGTCTGAACACAGCAGTAAACAAGTCTTCAGAACTGCAGCAAACTACACAGCGGAGAAATAAATTCAATAAAAGGAGCACCTTTAAAGATATTTAGAAAGGACATTATCTGAATTTGTCACTCTCTGCCTTGACAAAAACTAGTAACTTGTTTAAAAAGGAAGCAAGTCTTCAAAGAAAATAACACTATCATGAAGTTGTCCTAAAGCACCCAGAAACAACAGCACATGGAGCACAAAGCCTGCTGTAACACAAATCAAAGTTTTACTATTTGTGTTCACCATGAACACTACCAACTTATTTTCTTATTCTTAAAGTTGCTTTACTTTCTGACTTCAGTAACTGACATTTTTCTTTGACTTCAATGTCTTATGCTAACCAGACAAACAGATGATATCCAAATCCCAAGTTATTTAATCACAATCACTCGAGGCTTCTTCACCTTACATTAATGTCATCTCAAGAGACACTGCTTAGAAGGCGAATGCAGTTGGACCTCAACCATTCAGATTATGCATGGAGGACCAGAGTCTGAAATTCAAATGAACTAAGATGCCTTTTACTGCCTGAAGAGACAGCACCTCTATGAAGATAAGCAGTTGATGACCTTCAGTTGCCAACTCAGAACAACCTTTTCAAGCACATGCCACAATAGACACAGACCATAGCAGCCTATAATTCTTTGACAAACTATCCTGGTATTGATCCCAGAACTTTGCTCCAAATTCCTGTATTTTTAAAAACATTACATGTACATTTCATTTTTACTTCCTTTTGAAGTCATACCATTGCATTTTAGGGTGTAAACAAACAAATGAAGTTGCTGGCTAACTGCAAAGCTATTTCACTTTAACTGGAAAGATGCCCCTCACATGTGCCAAGCAGACTGATGATGCAACTCACAAATGCAGTAGGTTATCCACAGAACACCAGAGAGCTCATCAATGCTCCAGCACAGCAGGGAAGTCACATTCATCCCATATTAAGGGAACCATTAACTGTTTTCAGGTAAGTCACTTCCACGAAGTGTATTTTACACCGTACTGCATTTAAATACAATTCAAAAAACCCCCCAAACATTAGAATGGAGACCTGACTACTCAAAAGCCCTCCATCACCGACTAAGAACAATAAAAAGAGGGTAACTGACAGCTAGACTTCACTTTCTACTGTCAAATCCATGACCAGGAGAAAGCAATTCCAGCATCATGGAGACTGAGAAATTTGCCAAATGCGATATTTTGACTTGTCTCCAAGATCTTCTAATCTATTCATTTTCCAACCTTTTTTACAAGTTCATTTACCCCACAGATTAATCCTGCTTGTCAGTAGCAACAGCAACATGTAACTGTAAAAGGTCTTAATTCCTACCTTTCCGTTCATATCTCTGGCAGCATCTTTTGCATCTGCTGGACTCTCAAATGTGACGAATGCAAATCCTCTGGACTTGTTGGTTTCCCGATCTTTCATCAAAAGGACTGCAGAAACAAAATCACGTTACCCTTCCCTGTAACTAGGCAGGAACACTTCACCTTTATTTCACCTTTTAAGCTCAGAACTTCTTAGAGGACATGTAAGCGCCATCATTTCAGATGATCAACGCCAAAAAAAGTCATCACAGCTGTGTTACTTTAATTTCTATTATTTTAACAAAAAAATTTCTCTTTACCTTCCACAATGCGTCCATATTTGCCAAAAACAGCCTCGAGGGCTTTCTCATTAGTCTCTGTGTTCAGGCCCCCAATGAACAGCTTCCCAGGACGATCTGCTTCAACCATTTTGACGCCGTAAGTGACCTATTAAAAGAGTAATGCTGTTATTAACAAAGTATCAGACTGCAACAGGAATTCCCATGCCACTTCACTGAATATAAGTCATTTTCTTCCTCACAAGTACAAGCAAATTTTCCTGAAAAAACGTTATTTAAGAGACACGGCATATAAAGTACGTGAAAAAAATTTAATTTTTTTAGTAATTGAAGCAACTCAAAGTAGTATTACCTACAGTTACTGCTTCACATTATATGGTGTATTTCAAAAATATTCACTTAGCTTTGAAAAGTGGAACAAAGCACTATTAAGATCAAGCAATACCAGTGAACATGAAAACTCTTTCAGATGTGCTGTTCTTTTTACCCTTGATGGCAATCCCACCACTCCTTCCCTTTAAATCCCCCTGTGGATTTTTCAGAAAATTTACTTAATCTGTCGAACTAATATTAAATTAGTAATTTTTAAAGGCATCTTAGGCCCGTATTTCCAAATGAAGCCCATTCTTTGTATTATTTCATGCACTTCGAGCCAAGGTCCTGGCCTACACAACGCGTGAGCCTGAACAGACACCAGACCACCACTGCAGTTCTACACAGCAATGCCACGGCTAAAACAACGCGGGGGCGGGAGGGCTTAAAAAAAAAAAAAAAAGCCGAAGACAAAGCCCAAGCTCTCAGTGCCTGGCAGGGCGCCCGGCGCCTGTGGACCAGCGCTGCCCGCTTGTCTCCAGGCCGATAGAGGGGAAGCGCCTGCCACACGCACAAGGGGAGCGGGGACAAAGCGCTGCCGGGCGCGGGCGGCAGGCGGGGCCGGGCCGCACGGGGCCCATGTGGGGCCGCGCTCCGGGACACGGGCCCGGGGTCTGCCGGACCCTCCGCGGGCTCGGGCACCGCCACAAAATGGCGGCCGCCGCTGGCAGCGGCTCCTCTCCCTCCCCGCGCCCGGCGGCCGCCTCGGCGCTCACCCACGGCGCGGCTCGGCCCCGGCCCGAGCCACCGGCTCCGCGCTCCCGCCGGCCCCCCGCCCGCCCTCCCCGGGGATGCGGAGGGACCCCCCGCACCTAAAATGGCGGCCGCCGCGCCTCACGCCGCCGGGACCCCCCTCTCCCGCCGCAGCCGCGCGGACCCCGCCGCCCCACGCGGGGCCGCGGGAGCAGAAAAACGGGCCCGGCCGCGCCTCTGCCCCGCAGCGACGGGCGCGCCACGCCGCTCCCTCGGCGCGGATCACGCCTTTCCCCGCGGGTCCCCGCATCGCCCCGCGGTGCCGCCCGCAGGGCCCCCGGCCCGCACTCACCTCCGCCCGCGCCGAGCCGCAACTGCGCAATGGGGGCGAACAAAGGCGCTGCGGCCCTTTATAGCGCTGACGTCACCCGCCCGCCCGAGCCCCGGATGCGGCGGCGCCGGGCCCGGCAGGGGGCGCGCGCGGGCCGGGGCCGGGAGGGCCGGAGGGGCGACACTGAGGGGACACCTCATCGATGCGTACGAACATCTCCAAAAGGGGGGTCCGGACTCCTTTCAGTGGTGCCCAGGGGCAGGATGGGGAGTCATAAACTAAAACACAAGAAGTTTCGCCTCAAGATGAGGAAGAACTTTCCACTGAGGGTGGCAGAGCACTGGAACAGCTGCCCAGGGAGGGCATGGAGTGTCCCCCTCTGGAGATGTTCCACACCCACCTGGATGTGTTCCTGTGTCACCTGCTCCAGGTGACCCTGCCTTGGCAGGGGTGTTGGACTGGAGGATCTCCAGAGGTTCCTTCCAACCCTAATGATTCTGTGAAGGAACAGATGCGTCACTGCTTTGGAAGCAAAATCACTCGCAGTACTGTCAGAAGCATCTGTGCAGGAGCTTTACCCAGTTTGGCTGAAACAGCCTGAAAAGCATTTTTAATTAGCTCGATCAATACGTGTCCATGTGAGTACCCCTTCCTTGGAGACAGCAAACCAAATCAAGCATGGTTTAAAATGTGTTGTTGACGGCATAGTTTTGCTCTGGTTCAACTAACTCCAGTTTTAAATTATTTATATCTGAAGTTCAGTCAGTTGTGGGGATTTCTTTTGGATGGCTAAACCTGACAACAGAAAACTTAGTGGGAAATGTGTGCATGCAAAAATTGGCTAAATTTTCATAATATGAACTTGTAAATTACCTAAACATATTAATAGCCATCAAGGCCTGTTTTCTTGCTCACCCGGTCTAATCACACTCCAGTCTTCTAAGTTCTCCCTTTCATGTTCTCCAGACCTTTATTTCTGGGATGTGGCACAGGGATGTGCCCCAGGCTTCATTTTATTAACATTCTGTTAACATGTACTGTACGTGTAGCTTGGTGGGATCAGTGTGAACATGATTATGTTTGAAACAGAATTTGAACATTACAGCTGTAATTGTATCAGGGCCCAATTCTTCTGTCCTTTGTCCTAAGAGATATCTTCATCAGGATTTTCATCAAAACCTAGTTGCATCCTCAGTGGAAACTGAAACAGAATTTTACTGTCTCTCCTTGCATAGAGCATGTGTAGTCTCGCAGTCTTACTCCAAATTCAGTGAGACAGATCTTTTCCTAGAGGATTAGAGGATATATAACTGTTTAATTCTTACAATTCTTCCCCCTCCTCCCCTTTTTTTTTCCATAAATTTGATTTTTTTGTAGAAAAACTACAGAAATCATCAGAGAACTGTAGTATGAAAGGAAACTAATCCCTCTTCAATAAGAAGTTCAAGGCTGAAGAGCCATGATAGTTTCTTTTGCAAAATTAAGGTAGCAATATGAGGTCCTAATACTGGCCCCTATGGAATGGGAAATGGACTTGGATGGGGCAACTGGGGAGACAGAGACCAGGAAAATTCCACCAACCTTGACACAGAGGACAGCTGCTCTCTAACTAGCACAGACCTACTTGCCCATGCATCATCACAGCTTAGGAAGTTTTCCTTATATTTTTCCAAGAAAAAGAAATGCAGTTAAGTATGTTACTTATGTAACCCTAAAAATGAGCCCACTAGATGGGAGGGGTGGATGACAATCCATGAGGGTAGCATTTTCTGGATTTTCATGGTAGCTTTTGACTAAAATGTCACTCTCTCAAATGAATCCTAGGATGTTTAACAATGTGTTTGATTTTAAAATACAAACTTTTTCATGCAGAGGACAATATTTTGGATTTCCCTTGTACCATGCTGCGTATTTTCATCAAACGTTGGCCTTTTACCAAGTTCATCGTACTTGCGGTTTAAAATGGATAAAGGGTTTAGGAGAGCTGGGGGATGGGGACTAATGAATACAAAAATAATCTGATCACACAAGAGTCAGTCAGAACGAATAAAAAAGGAAATGTAATTCCCTTGAGATATATAGTCAAAAACTAATAACTGAAAAGATCTGTTTAATACTTTCGTGACAAGGAGCAATTTTGCAGGCACTGTGAGTTGATAGTTATTTATAGAAATTCAGCAAAACTGGGGAACTGAGAAAATTCAGGCTGGAGTGGATGAGAGCAGCACAAAATAATTGTTTCTGGCACTGACTTTCTCAGCCATTTCTAAACTGGAACTGTCCTACAGTAAGGGCAACTCACTATTGATTGATAAATGGGTTAAAATTGTTGGACATGGAGGTTTTGCAGGTTAATACAAATATAATGTCACAGGTTGAAAACTAGAGTGGCAACAGCTTGCCTAAATGGGAAGTATAGAGAGCAAGATGGAGCTGTTTGCTACCCAGTATTGGCAGTAATGCCTTTACCACAATGTCTCAGACAGCAGTGAGTATCTGTCTTGCCATGGTAGCATGGAGCTGGGCTTGCAGCCATTGCTTGCACTTACCCTGCTTCTCAGACAGGTTTTGCAGCTGCCCCAGAGTGCTGCTCCTGCCAATGCCACCTGAACAGGTGAACCTGGAGCTTCACATCACATTTGTGGCACTGCTGTAGCTGCGCTGCGTGAAGGAGCCATGGGGCACCATCCCACTGTGGCTGCAAACATCACAAGCTGCAGCAAAAATCATCAAATATAGTTCTTCAAGGTTGCTATGCAAAATCTTGGATTTACACCCCTAATTTCTGAGCTCGTAAAATCAAATTTAATTCCTTCTAACTCACTCCCTACAACTCCCTGAAAGAAGGTTGTAGCCAGGGGTTGGGCTCTTCTCCCCAGGAAACAAGCAACAGGATGAGAGGACACAGTCTCAAGCTGCAACAGGGGATGCTGGACATTAGGAAGAATTTCTTCACAGAAAGGGTGATTTGACATTGGAATGGGCTGCCCAGAAAGGGGGTAGTCACAGTCCCTGGAGGTGTTTAAGGGAAGACTGGACATGGCACTTAAGTGACATGGTCTAGTAAACAAGGTCACAGCTTGTAATTGATGATCCCAGAGGTTTTTCCAAACTAATTGATTCGGTGATACAATACAAAACCCAAAAAGAAGTTCTGGTATCATAGAATCTTAACACTGTTTGGGTTGGATGAGACTGTAAAGATCATCTTGTTCCAACCCCGCTGCCATGGGCAGGGACACCTTCCACTAGACCAGGATGCTCAGAGCGCCGTCCAACCTGGCCTTGAACACTTCCAGGGATAGGACATCCACAGCCCCTCTGAGCAACCTGTGCCAGGGCCTCACCACTCCCACCGTCAGGAATTTCTCCCCGATATCCCCCTCACCGTGCGCTCTCTCAGTTTAGAGACCCGTCACTCCCCGAACCTCAGGTTGCCCTTGCCCAAGATGGCGCCCGGCGCTTCCCGCCCTCACCGCGCAGGCGCCGCGGCCCCGACCCGGCCGTGACGCGGCCGCTCCCGCCTTCTGCTGGTCTGGGGCCGCCTCCGCCTGGCGCTGCCCGGGGCTGCAGCCGCCTCATGGTGCCTCGGCCCCTCCAGGCTGCACGATGAGGCTCTTGGCTGCCGCGCTCCTGACGGTGGTGCCGCTCTGCGCCGCCTTCTACCTGCCCGGGCTGGCGCCCGTCAGCTTCTGCGAGGAGGGCGAGGAGAGCGAGAGCTGCAAGGTGAGAGCCCTCCCGGGCGGGCCCGGCGCGGGCGGTCCCCCCTCAGCACCCGCTCGGGGTTTCCGCAGCCAGGGGGGACCGCCTGGTGTTCCCCCAGCCCGCTGCTTGCGGCCCCGGCTGTCCTCCCGCAGGGACAACCTTTGCTCCGGGAAGCCAGGCATCCCCAGCTCGTATTTCCTCGGTTCCCTTTCTCCCGCTGAACTTCCCGGGAGGATCCTTGGTTCCTTGTTCCTGGCGTGGCCAGGGCCTGTCAGGAGCCAGGGGTAACTCCGCTGTGGGACAGCAGCAGCACTTGCCGCTAAGCCAAGCGTTTCGTATCAGCCACGCGTTTGTTTCTGAAAGTCTGTATTTTCATACTTTTTTTCCTCCTTTCCTGTTTCAGTCGCTAATTGAGCTCTTCGTGAACAGGCTGGACTCGGTTGAATCAGTTCTGCCATACGAATATGATGCGTAAGTACACTACAACAGGCTTCCAGGAGCGTTTGGAAAGGCTGTTTTCTGTTCTCGGCTGCTGATACCGTACAGGTGTCAATATTTTGGCTGTAGGGATGGAAGAGTAAATCCAGGTCTCAGCGGCAGGAATTAAGTACAAGAGAGTGGGAGGGACGGAGGCCACACCTGTGCCACCTGACCATCCTCTGGTATTGTTAAAACAAGGCTGTAGGGCTTCTTATGGGTGCATTTTTTTGAGCTGAGTACAAGATTCAGTGTTGGCAGTTTAATATATTTGAAAGTTCTTCCTGTTATGCAAATTTGAGGAGCTTTGAGTTTCTGGTAACTGAAGCCCAGAGACTAGTTGCTGTTAGTTTTCAATTTTACGCAAAAGCTCTGTAGCTAATTCTTGGTTTGCTATTGTTTTGTTTTGTTTTGTTTTTTTCTTTTGATTATTGTCTGTGAAAACTGTTACCTGCTTTTGCTGATATTTATAGGCCTACAAAGCAGTGATACACATGATTTGAAGTCTTGCTGTTGGGCACTCAGAAAAGAGAAACTTGGAGGTTGTTGTAGATCTTACCCTGTGCAGTGCAAGACCAGAGATTAGCTCAAAAGCCCACAGTGTCTCTATTTGAGTTAAACTTTAGGAAAGCCTGTGAATTTAGGACCACTTATTGAAGAAGGTATTTATGCGCCAAAGATAAGTTTGGGTTTGTTTGTTGGTTTTGTTTCCTCATAACCTACTGCTACCTGTGTTTAATGGAAAATCCAGATATTTGGCATAATTTAAATGCTGAAAATATCTCTCCCAAGTTCAGCAGTTTTAGGCTGTATGTAATTGAAAAGAATTTGTGAATGACATTTGACAGGTGATCAATACTGAAGGAATGTCCCTTCTTCGAAACATGTTTCACTTTAAATACTA